GTAATATTTCCCTAGGGAATTTTTACCGGGGGTAACTGCGCACTAGTGTTTATATACCCCCGAGGATTTTGTCAGGGGGTAACATTACTCTAGGGACTATATACCCCCCGGTACGAAATCACTAGAGGATTATTACCTCCTCGCGGCCGAGGGGGGTAAATTATCCCTAGGGTTATTTTACCCCCCGGTAAGAAATCCCTAGAAGAATCGTACCCCCAAGGGATGAGGGGGGTTTAATGACCCTAGGAATAATTTACCCCTCAATAAGAAATTCCTAGGGGAATTTTGCCCCCTCTCACTGCCTGCGGATTGAGAGCTGAGCCGAGCTGAGCATCAGGAGTGCGTCGCGCAGCTGCAGTAGCTTATAATTGGCTGTGAGAGTTAAAGATTGGTTGTGCCAGATAAGCTTCTCCTACTGTAACTACTACACTCCTGGTAAAGAAAGAAGGTAGGCGCCCCTGGAGAGGAGTCTCTTGTTTCCACCAGTAAGAAATTATTGGGACTAAAAGGACGACGTTGTGCAAGGCGACGACACATACAAAATTCGACCATACCTGAACAAGTCAAGACACGTCTTCGCCCCCGGAACCACTGCCAAAAACCTGTGCAGAATACAGGAAGTAACGATGTGGTCGTTGTTGTTTGTCGACAGAGTTTGTTCGTCGAAGTGAAAGGTCCCGAAGACACACTCGGCCCCCATCAAGTCAAGTGGCTCGAGTTCCTAAGAAGTCATGAAGCACAAGTGGAAATTGCAATTGTTCAGGTTCGAACGGAAGCTAAATACATTAGGGAAGCATTCGACATGATCGTTAGACGGACAACTGACCCGAAGGACGCGACGCCCGACGAGCTCACTAAGCTACTAGTATTCCTGACCAACTTCAGAAAAGAATGGATTGACGGCAACAAGCCAGAGGTGTTCTCACTCCGCAAACGTCACTTCCATACGACGAGCGGGCATGAGTCACTCCACAGAAAACTTAACACCATGCTCAATAACTATGGCCGTCCCAGTTTTTTGGAAACTTTTAAGTAAGTTTTCAAACTTTTCACTGGGTATGCCGCCCCCTTACTTTTCTTTGTCCTGATTACTAATTTTTTTCGTTTCTTTCCACAGCACTTACGACGTATGGAGCACGAGGAACATCACAACCTTCACACCACACTAGAGACTGGACACAAGACTAGGAAACACAACACCAAGAGACTAAACAAGAAGCAATTCAACCACAGGGGACTACTTTTTGACCAAGACATTAAAGACGCCTACACTGACTTCGAACTAAACGAAAACCTGAGTAGCTTCCTCACACTGGCGGCAAAAAATGTGCGTAAGCATGTAGAAATTTTTGAAGGTTTTGACGATGATTTGGAGCTTCCCGAGTAAGTGTTATTGGCTGAGGGATTAGCGAAGCCTATTTGGCTGAGCGATAGCGAAGTCTGTTACTCCAGTGATTGGCTGAGCGATAGCGATAGTACATTTACCTAGTAATCAAAAAGTTTCGTGTCTGTCTGTGTGTCTGTCTGTTTGTCTGTAATCACGACAACTCGAGAACGGTTTGAGCTAGGTAGGAAATTTTTAGTGTGACTTTGTATCATAAAAAGCAAGAACTGTATTGATTTTAAGCCCTCTAGCTGAAAAATTGGCTCGTCAATAAAATCAAAAACGAAAAACCCAAAATATTACTTATTTTCAGCAATATTTTATCTCTTCGTTTTAAGACGTAACTCGTCAAAGTAGAACCCCGAAAATGACCCCAAATCATTTCAATGTTGTTTATCCGATATTTGATGGTCTCTGGATGGGCAACTCGTCGAAATAAAATCTTGGCGGTAAAATGTGTGCCTTTTGGAGCCGAAGGCCGATCTACGACTCTGTCTTTTGCCCGACTCGGATGTCAGCGCCGCAGGCCTATGTAGATGGATGCCAGGGGCGTCGCAGCGTAACAGTGTTTCGTGAGATATCGCGAAGCCCGTTACGCGAGACGTGGTGTGGCGTGCATCTACCTAGCACTCCGTCTGGTCGGAAATAACTTTCTCTCTCTCTCTGTGTGTGTGTGTGTGTGTGTGTGTCTGTCCGCACGATAACTCGAGAACGAATTGAGCTAGCGACTTGAGAATTTCAGAGTCGTTATGAACCACAAGGTAGACGTACGCCAGGACCACGTCTCGAGTAACAGGCTTCGCGATATCTCACGAAACACTGTTACGCTGCAACGCGCCTGGCGCACATACAGCTAGGCCTGCGGTGCTGACACCCGAGACGGGTCCCACAAAAAATGATTTTTTACCATTTCCTAAGGAGTAACTCATCAAAGTAGAGCCCGTTGGGCGAAAATTTCTGCACCTGTGAGCGCCGTGTCCAGGTGAACGCGGAAGAGCTGCTGCGCCTCGTGAGCTCCACGTCGTCCCCTGCAGCAACACGCAGCCGGCCTGGCCGAGGCCCTGACCACCGCCGGCGCCGCGCGGCCCCAGCTGCACCTGTGAGCGCCGTGTTCAGGTGAACGCGGAAGAGCTGCTGCCCCTCGTGAGCTCCACGTCGTCCCCTGCAGCAGCACACAGCCGGCCTGGCCGAGGCCCTGGCCCTGATCCCTGCCGGCGCCGTGGCAAGGAGGAACGGTACTCGAACCTTTAGTCTGAGGCTCTCTCTTCGCGGAGGTCACCGAGGTTCAAACCACAGATATTTATTTTTGTTACCGGCATATTGATATTTTTAACTCAATAGAATTATTGAGAAAATGTATTTAGAGGGAGAATAAATCATTGAAAGTCGTGAGTACTGTACTGATTTAATGCAGACAGTTCAAAGTTGGAGGAATCCCAGGGAATACTTCAAGTCTTCCTCTCGTCATTATCAGATGTTAGCTTTTTCTGCTGCCGTTCAGACTTTCGGGGAAGTACGTATTGGTGTTCGAAAGTGAACACTGTTTTGTCCTAGCAGCACACCAAGTTTACATGTTAATATTGAATAAGTGAGATTGATGCACAAATTATACAGAATGGGGCACATACTTACATGATTAATTGAATCTGTGCTGACCACGATGATGGAGCTGCAACTCAGAGCCCTGCTAGTTAGTTGGGAACCAGTCTCAGTACCAGTTTGGGTACTAATCTCAGTGCCAGTATTGGGACGTTCCAGTCGAGTTTGGGTGGACACTGATCTCGTATGAGGGTTGAAATGATGAGATAATCCAGAATGAGCGCAGGAGGGGAATTGGGAACATGGGAAGAAGGGAGGTGCGGAATGAGAGGGGTATGGAGGGCGACAGGGTGGTTGAAACTGAGGGCAACAGTATGGATAAAAAGAAGGGCGACAGGGTGGATGGAAAGGAAGGCGAGGAGAGGGTGGATGGAAAGGAGGGCGTGAGGGTGAATAGAAAGGAGGGCGTGAGGGTGGATAGAAAGGAGGGCGTGAGGGTGGATAGAAAGGTGGATAGAAAGGAGGGCGACACCTGTGATCCATGGTAGCTGAAACCATAAATTACAAATCCTGTAAAAGAAGCTGCAGAGGGATACAGAATTGTAATTCAGAATTTTATGATATGCATATCTTTGCGACAATATTTGCCAAAAATTAGCTTTACCCCATATATTTGTATAGATTTAAATGAACATCAACAATTACTAACAAAACATGTATCAAGGGATACAGTTATCTTTTATAATTAACATCAATCGCTGGGTTAGATAGGTAAATTTAAAGATCAGTTCCTCTCCAAGTAAAAGACTTAACAAGTCTAAATTTCAGTTAAGGAACAAACGTCAGGCAGCACAAAATAGAAAATAATCGTATCGTAATCGAAGTACAGCAACAGCAAATTATCAAAATGCTAGCAGGTTTGTATGTAAATTCTTAATGTTGGTAATTTCCACAAATTGTAATGCATCTCTTTGTTCATAAACCACATCACTCCTTACCGAAGATTAAGTTATCAGTAGATCGAGGTACAAAGCGTAACTTTATGGGTTCAATTCAATGACGACTTGACCTGAGACAAAGCAAGCGCGTAGTGTAACAAAGAGAAACGCCTAAACTAAAGTTCGGACCAGATGACAAGACAGCCACGGTTGTTCCGTCTGTGGGTACCGTGTATGTTCTCATACTGCTTATTGCCACTCACACTGTGAATAAGCATGTCTCTAAGGAATTGGCAACAGCGTTCGTAGCAGACGGTTCTAAACAGCTGTGTTCTGAGCTATCTCAGAGGGAAATTACTGAAACGTATCTTAAGTTTTCGTTGACTTGTAGATCTTACTAGTTAATATCACACATTAGACGTTTTGACACGCTGCAAGAAAGTCGAGTGCCTGTTCCCGTTAAAGTCAGTAAAACTTTCGTGTGATATGTGTAGACTGTTAAATACCTTCAGCTTAACCTCTTCAATGACCAGTGTCAAATTAACATATAATTCTGAATTATAAGCTTGCGCTTCTCAAAGTGAACTGGTCTAACCAAGTACGCAGCGTGTCAACAAAAGATCCCACTAATGATGGAACAAACAGGTTGAGAGAAAGTGAAATCACTACCATTGGGCTTAAAGATGACATTACAATTTAATTTTGAATCAGTTTTCTTATTGCAGTGCAAGAAAACCTGAAGACAAACAAATATTTTAGTTAAAAATTAATAAGGAGCCGAAGCCGTTAGAGAGCAAAGTAGAATGCAAAACAACAAACTCAGGAGAGAATGGTTCCTAAACTTAATGAAAAGCTGGTATAAAGATAAAATCTTCAAAGGTGCAAGAAGGTACACATGGCACTTACAAAGAAGTCTTTAACCATAACATTACTTAAGGGGGCAGACTTGTGAAATACAAGGGTTTGGGAGATATTTTATTTTAAAAAAACTACGAATCGCAGCAATATAAACGAAAGACCCTTTTCATAAGAATGAATTGGGCTACAGTTTGGCGTATGCACATATAGTGCCCACCTCCGGGAACCCGGTCTTCTTGGCCTCGAAGTGGACGGTTGCACCTCGACGTGGCGTGCACGATTTGGACCGAACAGATGGACCTG